CAAAATAATCATATATTTCTTAATACCTTGTACTCATTTTTTCCTTTTCTTCTACAAAATCATCTCCAACCACAATGGCATCAACTTTCCACGTCGATAAGAAAACCTTTTCTAAAAAGTTTTGAAGTTCGGAAGTGCTGTTGACAAGAAGGCTAGGGTAAGTCAATATTTCGAGGCACATGTCACAAGCTCTATTGGTGATAAGGTTGTTGCTATGGTATGTGGGGTGCAACATAGGTGTCTTCTAAAGTTATTGTCGAAGACCTAAATAGTGCCCAAAGATGTTCCAAGTACCAAATGATAGCATGTTCATTAAGCTCAAGGTGCATAAATGAGGCTACTACCCAAAGATGATGTGTGGCTATCTCTATAACCTCGTTGGTCACAATGATTAGTCTTCCACTCCATCTGTTCTTAAGAAAGAGTGTTAGGTCTTATAGTTTAGAGCTTACTCAAGTCGGTCCTAATGGTCGAGGTGATGGTAGATGGTCTTACGCCCGAAACCTGGACATGGAATAAACGGCATATTCGCCTCAAAGAATAGGTAATTGATGGTACTTTGCTTAGTTGGAGTCACGTGACATGTTACATTTGTAGATGCGTATATTTAAATTTAGAATAAATTTTTTGTACACTCCAACATATAGTCTCCATTTTGATTCTTAATTTATTTTTTTCAAGAAACATTTTTTAATTTTTTTCTTATTTTTTATTTAAAATATTTTTTATATGTCGGTCAATAATTTCAAGTATAATTTTGAATAATTTAAGGAATAGAGCATTGGAAGTATCCAAATTTTGAGAGTTAAACTTGTTCTTTATTTTAAAAAAATTGAAAAAGATAGTTTCTTAAAACTTATTTTTAAGTATTGGATCATCTTCAAGATGCTATTTAAAAATAATACTCTTTATTTTAAAGAGTCCATTTATAAAAATATGCTCTAAAAATGCTTCGAATTAACCTTTTAAAATATATAGTGGATTTGACTCTCCAAATTTTGAGAGTCAAACATTCTTTTTATAATTAAATGCATTCAAAATATTTCGATTTTCTATGTTTCATATATTGACCAACCATATAATATATAAAAAGAAAATGGAGGAAAATAATATAATAATTTGGAGAGAAGTTGGTAAATAAAAGATAGGAAAAAATAAATAATATATATATTGGGAGTAGCAAATAAGTATTAAAGATAGTGAATATATATATTGGGAGTAGTAAGGCCCCGTCTGGGTGCGATTAAAGGAGGAAGGAAAATTGATTATTTTACCCTTTTTTTTTCAAACCTACAGCCCTACAGTGAGAGCATTTGATGCAGAAAGATCCGAGTCAGACGAGATCGAGCTGTTTGATAGTACATTAATGGCGTTGAGATACCATGAGTCTACGGATCAGCTCAAAATTGGCAAATAATCATCGAACTTTCCTAATTGGGTCCTTTTTTTGACACGTTTTGGTATTTTGGTCGTAACTTTGGCTAGGTTGTCAAAATCACGCCTGTGACCCCAATTTGGAAAGCTCTTTTTGGCGCGCACGTCATGGTCACAAGCTACACTCAGTGTGCATCAGTTTAGAGGTCAAATTCAGCTGTTTTCCCTTCCGAATCATCAATTTAAGTTATTTTTTTGCCATTTTTAATAATATTTCAATTT